GGTTTCATATAAAACTGATATTTTAGCTATTTGTTGGTGATACTAGAGTTTGAACTCAGGGCCTGTGCTTTCTAGGCAGGTATCAACCACATCCCCAATCCTTTTGGTTAGTTATTTTTACATGTTTATGTCTGAACTAGTCTGGGTCATGATCCTGCTATTTATGTTTCCCTAGTGACCAGGATGACAGGTGTCACCACCACGCTCATTTATTGATTGAGATGGGGGTCTCAAGAACTTTTTGTTCTAGCTGCTTGGAACCATGATCCTTCAGATCTCTGCCTTCCAAGTAACTAGTATTATAGGCATGAGCCACTGTGCCCCGCTAGTTTTAACTATTTTAAAATGGCTTTATTTCATTTGATTTTGTAATATTTAATGACAAACAAGTGGTAGTTGTTACCATTTTTGTTAGTGGGAAGAGCATGAGCTCCACAGTCAAATCAATAAGACATCTGATCACTTACCACCATTCACTGTAATCTCAAACAAATGTCTTAAAACTCTGACCCTTGGCTTCTACATCTGAAAATTGGTTTCCATAATATTGATTGAGCATGTACTGTTTGCCAGGCATTTTATTAAATAATCGAGATACATTATTTAATTTGTACAGTAACCTTATGAGGTAAACACTAGCCCCGTTTCATAGTTGACTGATATGCAGAGAAGTAGGAAATGATCCAGGTCCCATAACTAAACTTAGGTGTTAAAAGGATTGGAGATGATACATGTAAATCAGGGTCAGACTGGGAGCGAGTGTTCAGTACGTCTGCAGATACTTTTATTTGTGCTATTATAGGAATACCAAAGTGCATTCAAGTCAGTGTTGGTTTGCAAATAGTCTATGAACTTCAGAAATCTGTACTCATTCTGGAGAAGATAGGGAAGCATGTTTTACAATTTTCTTTTGTATTCCATAGCTGTCACTATGACATGCATTCAAGCAAATACTATGAACCCAGTATATACTTACTAGTGCACATTTCTCCTGAAAGGACAAATGTGAATCTATTTGGAATAAAAATTGCCATTTTTTGAAAAGCAATTCATTACCCCTAATTCTTTTATTCTTCTTTTTAAAAGTTGCCATAGGAATATAATTTTAGGGCTTTCATTCTAAGAGTCTTTTGTCTGCCTACTGGTTTAAAGGAAAAAAAGAAATGAGAAAACTTTAGAGAAGGCTGACCTCTCAGGAATTTTTGTGTGGGGAATTATTAAGCCATGAAAGTCCAGAAACCATTTTTCTCCATTTTCTTTTTTATGTATTTTCAACAAACTGCACTTCTAGAGAGTAATAGTTTGTGATTTTTTTAATACTACCAGAATTCTATTTTCTTAAACTAATCGTCCATAAGTCATTTTCTCTTGGTTTTTTATGTAATTTCAATAAGCTATACTTCTAGGAAATAAAGTTTGCAATTTTTTAAATACCAGCACAAATTCCATTCTCTTAAACTCAGAGTCGGTAGAATGTAATAAAGTCTAAATTCAACCTCCTAGTTGAGAGAATTTTAATAAAGATTCTAGTGTATTTGGGGCTCAGATTATCTCAAACCATTCTTTTGAAATAACAAATTCTGTAGTTTATGTCTTAGTTTTAAAAAATAATATGTGTAGTTTTATTCTGATTATAAGAGTAATATATCTATGAGTGATACTGCCATGCCAATAAGCCTTTCTCCATTAGAAAATAATTCTTTGGTATTTTATCAAATAATCAAGTATGTTCATTTGGAGCAAATGACTTCCTTCTTAGAAACATAAAATTTCTGTTTCCTGTTTTGTTTATAGGTAGTTATTGGAAAGTGGGGAGAGACTGCTGAATGGGCAAGAATGAAATTTTTTTCATTATCTTCCTGTACTTGGTCAGAACTTTTTTCTTTCATATACTCTTTAGAACAATTCTGCTACAGTCTACTCTGGATCTTTGTTATTTGTTAACTGTTATATCCAATAGCCTAGAACAGTGCATGGCTCATAGTAGGTATCGAATATTTGTTGAATGAGAGAAGAAAGGATCACTTGTTCTGAGCTGGGCATCGTTAGTTTGCATATGCATTTTAGTTTTTTACTTACTCATCAAGTGCATTATAAAAGTTAGGCATTATGCCCTGTAGTTTGCCTCATCTTCTGGACTCTTATATAGTACTCTATTGTTTACAGCTACAACCAGGCTTTTGTGAGGATAAGAGGGAGAGAACTTAGAGGTGAAGAAATGAGTGTAGTCCAGGAAAAGCAACTCTGTTAGGACAGAGAGTAAATACAGTTCTAGAGTGGGGTTGAAGGTGAGAACAGGGAATGACTATAAATAGGCAAGAGGAATCTTCTGGATGAGGGAAATGTTCTGAAATTAGATTGTGGTGATCATTGTATAGCTATGTAAATTTATTAAAAGTCATTGAATTGTGCTTTTGTGGAATAGAAATTATTTCAGAAAAGTGTTAAAATGAATAAAGCCAAGGTGGGAGTTAAAAATACTTCGACTTTCTGCTAATTGGAAAACTAGATAGTTGTATTATTTTCTTTATTTCTTGCTTTGGATGTAACTTGTTGCTTATAGACAGGTGACTAATTTATTACAACAAAAGTATTTCATAACAGAGGAATGTTAATTTTATTCTCAAGTATGTTCTTTAGTGGAATTAGCTTGGAGCTTACAAGGCTCTTAATATAAAACATCTTGTTTCATCTAATTCCTTTGTCCTTTTTTAATGGATAATTTGGATTATTTTTAAAGCCATAAAAAGGAACAGGTGTAAATTATTCCTCATTGCTGATAGTTTGTTTTCTCTGAGTTTTGCAAAGTTAGAACATACTAGTCTATTTCCCATTTCCTTTCTAAAAGATTGGTTTAACTTACCTAGATAACTTTGTTTACAATTTTAAATTTTTAACTGATACTTAGAGATGTAAAAATATATATTTATGGTTCAGTACATATATGCACTATGTAATGTTTAAATCAGATTAAACATTTTCTCATTTAACATTTATGGTAAAAACATTCCAAATCATTCTAGCATGTTGAAATACACAATTGATCTCATAGAAGTTGAGAATAAAATGGTGGTTACCAGGGGCTAGGAAGACTAGGGGAGAGAGGGCTGAGGAGAGGTTAAATCAGTGGGAACTAAGTTATAGTTATGAGTAAGAAGTTCTGGTGTTCTTTTACACAGTAGGTTGACTATAGGTAATGATAAAGTACTTTTTGTGTGGGTATGTTGTACTGAGGTTTGAACTCAGGACCTACACTTTGAGCCACTCCACCAGCCCTTTTCTGTGGTAGGTTTTTTCAAGATAGGGTCTTATGAACTATTTGCCCTGGGCTGGCTTCGAACCATGATCCTCCTGATCTCTGCCTCCTGAGTAGCTAGGATTACAGGCCTGAGCCACTGGCACCCAGCCTGTTTTTATTTTTTAAAACAAATTACTTATGGACCTTTCCCGTCCCTAATATATTATGCTCATCTTTGGTGGGAAAGGAGTTTCAGTGATTAATTATATATTAAAATTACTTGTTGGAAGAAAACATTTTTCCATGAAACTGGTAGTACTCAGATTTTTATATATTCTTAAAGATATTCTGTATGTGCCTTTTCCAAGGGAGCATAGCACCTTTTGACTACATGTTGAAAATTATTTATGAAAGTTCTACCGTAAGTGTAATAAAGACTAAATAGTCTAAAGACATAATTGAGAGTATTCAGATCACTTTACTCCCAAGTCTGAGAATAAAAAGTATTGGCAAAAATATGACGACCTAGAGACATTGTAATTAAAAACCACTTGGAATTTCTCATTAGTTACATCATCATTCACTTACTTTGTGGCTTGAAAATAGGTGATGATGATGGTGATAACCTTTGTTACTGTTAAAATTTAAATGCATAGTGTTTATTATATACTAGACACTGTTATAAAGGCTTTAGAGTAGCTCACTTAATTCTCAGGGTAGCCCTATGAAGTAGGGAATATTACCCATTTTTAACAGATAAGGAAAAGTCACATTGTGCAAGGTCATAGAGCTAGACAAATTGAGGCACAGTATGTATTCAGAATCCCTATACCGTGACAGTAGGATTGGTTTCCTTTTCCTTATTCCAAAGGGGGGAAAAATCTTCATACTGAAAGTATTAAAAAATATTTAGTGGGCCGGGGATGTAGCTTGGTGTTTACCTGGCCTGCATGAGACCCTGGGTTTGATTGCCAGTAACACTCCCAGTTTAGTACAAAAGAAAACGAGGAAACACCCTCTTGCCCTCATTACTTTTCTGTCGTTTAAATCATTTATTCCTTTTATGAATCAGTGTTAATTCCATTAGTTGACTTAGTCTGATAACTACTGGCTTTTCATGGAGCACTAGGTGGATAGTTCAGTGTTGTTTGAATTTAGTCAGTTTCTTAGGGTTTCTTTTATGTGCCTGAAAGTTTTCTTAGTTGTCTGGGCTGACTGAACATTACTGTGGGAAAATTTACAAGTTTTGCAGCTTAAATGGAGTATTGTGTACAATCTTAGCTACTTAGGAGGTGGAGATTCAGAGGATTGAGGTTCGAAGCCAATACAGGCAAATAGTTCATAAGACCCCATCTCAAATAACCAGAGCAAAATGCACAGGAGGAGTGGCTCCAAGTGTCTGAGTTCAAACCCCAGTCCCACCCCCCGCCAAAAGAAGAAATGGAGTATAAGTGCATTGACATTTGTATCTATCTTTTGAGATACGTGTGTTGTCATAACTCAGGTTATGACTTACAATTTCACATGGAAGAATGTTTATGGCTGTTGATTAGTTGATGTTAGAAGTATCAATTTAAATAAGCCAAAATATTTTAATAAATTGATATCTGTTTTTTGATTTTAAAAAAAAAAGGTTAGAAACCTTTGAGTAAACTTATTAATAAGTTATCTCTCATGGTGTGGGTGTATATTGGGGAGAAAATTTAAGGTATTGTTTTTTCTTAAATTATTCAATTCCCCTCCTTTTTATTTTATTTTTAAGGATTTTGGTCCCCAACAGTAATTATCAAGATGTTGAAACCCTCTATAACTTCCTAATCAAGTATGAGGTATGAGAAATGTTTTTCAGTGCTTATCACATTCCCACCATGGACAAGTTTTTATACAAATGAATATAGTAGGAGTTCTGAAAACATAATGAATACTGTTTCTATTTGCTTTAAGTTAAATTCTTTTCTTTTTTTTTTTTTTGGAAGTAGGATCTCACTGTAAAGCCCAGGCTAGCTTCAAACTCATGATCCTTAGCCTCAGCCTCCAAGTGCTAGGAATACAAGCATGCGCCTCTACACCAAATCGAAACTGAATTCTTGAATGCCATGGAAGTTTGCCAGTGACATATTCCACACTTCCCTTCTTTTTTGGTGGTGCTAGGGTTTGAACTCTGCTTTACACTTGTTAGGCAGGTGCTCTACTACTTGGGCCATGCCCCTAGCCCTTTTTTCTCCCTTTTGAAAAAATGTATATATTTAAGATACACAAAATGTTTTGATATACACGGTGGAATTTTACTATAGTCAAGTAAATTAATGTATCTGTCATCTCACATAGTAACCTTTTTTGGTGTGGCAAAAAATTCTAAATACAACGGTGTTATTTAACTGTAGCTCTCATGTTTTACCTTAGTTCTCTAGACTTTTTCATCCTACATATCTGCTTCTTTTTTTGACCAGAATCTTCCCATTTTCTCCCCATCCCTCTCCCTACCAGTGACATTTTCAATTTTTTTTTTTGTTGTTCCCTAAGTAAAAATACAGTAGAGTTGTAGAACAACACACTGTTCAAGCACAGAATTGTTTTTCATCGGAATCTATTGGCATTTTTAACTAGTTGTTTCTTCATTGTTTTCCATACATCATTATTTCATTATTGATCCAAGAAGAGCATTCTGTTAATTTTTAATTTCAAGAGGGGGAGAGGGAGAAGGAGGTGTGGCTCAAGCAGTAGCGCACCTGCTTTACAAGTGCAAAGCACTGGTTTCAAACCACATTCCCACCAAAAAGAAAGAAGGAAGACAGGGAGGGAAGAAGGAAGGAAGGAAGGAAAGGGAAAGAGAGAAAGATACAGAGAAAGAAGATGGAGAAAGGGAAAGGAAAGGAAGAAAATGAAAGGGAAGAGGGAAAAGGAGGAACATAAAAGTAGTACTTGTAGATACAAGTAAGTTTTTCCTCAGTCAGATCTTTCCACATAGTTTATAATCTTACATGTTTTTCCTATGCGTTCAGTCTCCAGTGTGATCACCTACTTTACTGAAATTCCCACTTTCCAGGCCCATCTCTCCCATACTGGTTCTATAAGCAAATTAAGTTGTAATCATGGGACTAAAATTTTTACACATGGGTCACTGTTCACATTATGATCAGTGAACTGATTGCTATTCAACCTTTTAAAGCAATAACTAGAAACTTAAGATTCTGCTTCCTTAGAATATGGGCCATTGTAATTGGGTCCATATGTAATCGTTGACATATGTTAAATCACTCATTTGACTTAACATATCTAAGTAACTATATTTTGGTTCTTTTCAGGTAAATAAAAATGTCAGATTTACTGCTGAGGAACTTTATGATTGTCTTTCTCAAACTGAGTATCGGTAAGTCATATCTACATGTAGATACATCATGTATTCAGCACCACTTGATGGTGGTGGAAATGGTAGAGTGCCTGCCTAGCAAGCATAAAGCCCTGAGTTCAACTCCCCAGTACCGAAAACAAACAAACACCCCTGAGAATGTAAAAATGTTAGCCTGGTGTGATGGTATACATCTATAATCCAAGCTACTTGGGACACTGAGGCAGGAGGACTGCAAATTAAAGGCCAGCCTGGGCAACTTAGCAAGACCCTGTCTAGTAAAAAATAAAATAAGCTGGGACTGCAGCTCAGTGGTGAACACTTGCCTAGCATGCTTGATGACCTCTGTTCAATCCCTGTTGCTACACAATGTTTAACTCATTTTTTAAAAACAGTAACTAATTACTGTATGCTAAGATTATAACATTATTATGAAAATATTTTTCCCAAACAAAAAATGTTACTGACAGAAGTGGCATTGCTGAACAGTTTTATAGCTCTGTTAGCATGTGGCATAGGAGGAGGCAACTGAATTCTGATAACTGCTTTTGTATTCAGTCTGTTGTGATAATCACATGTCATGGACTACTAGAAAACTATTCTTTCAGGAAAACGAGTCAAAAGATAAATCACAGCTTTAGTCTTATTATGGTAATGACTATTCTTTGACCTTGCAGATCCTCTGAAAGAGTCTTAAATCCCTAGGTTCCCCAGATTATGTTTTGAAGAGCAGCTGGTCTTCATAGTGCCCATCTGTCTAACCTTATCATTCACCTAACAAAAAGGAACTTTAGCCATCCATAACTGTAACCCCCACCCTTTCCATCTTTTCTCTAGGGTTTTTGTGTTTAAAGTTCTCATCCTTGGGGGATGAATTCCACTATGATATATTGTAAGAACTTTTGTAAATGTCACAGTGTACCCCTGTGCAATAATAATTTTCTAAAAATTAAGTTCTCATCCTTTATAGTTTTACTAAATATTATGCATAGTGAAAATAACTGATTCGTTTTGCCTGTTTTTGAACTTAATAGTATCATACTGCATACTTATAGCATTCATATGTAACAAAAAGGATAAGTAATATAAATTTGATTTTTGTATACACAGAATATAACTGTGAAGCCCTTGCTTTGGTCTGAATGTGTGCCCCCAAAACTCATACTTTGAAACTTAATCCCTAGTTAATAGTAGTATTAGAAGATGGAGCTTGGGAAATGGGATTCGTTCCTCATGAAGGAGACATCAGAGAGCTAGTTAGCTCTTTATGCCATATGAGACCACATAGAAGGTACCGTCTGTTAGGAAGAGCACCCTCACCAGACACCAAATGTACCAGTGCCAGGAGCATAAGCTTCCAATCCAGTACTGTGAGACACTAATTTCTATTATTTATTAGCTATCTACTCTAAGGTATTTTGTTACAGCACTGCAAACAAACTAAGCCCTTCATTTCTGGGCCTAGGTAAATAAATGTTACCGCTGTATTTTTACAAAATTGGGGAATGAAAACCACAAGGTTTATGGGGAAAATGGGATTAGGGGCACAACACACAGAAACTTCATTAAGAACATGTTTTTAAAAAAAAACATGTTAAAAAAAGAACCTAATAAAAATGGTATCATAGTGTTGTTAAGACATGTTAAATGGCTGAGAAATACATTAATGGCTATAGTAAATATGGCCTTTTACCTGATGTGTTTGTAAAAGTGGTCACTGGAAGGGTTCCAATGACCCTTACCTGAATTTGGATGTAAAGTTATAACACCAAGTGGGTGATTGTCATTTTTAGCACGCATGGTAAACCTAGGTACCTGGTACATGTTTGCATGTGCATGTTTTTGTTTCTTAAGTTTAGCTGGGTGCAGTTTTCTCTGTTCACCTATGTGCTTTTCTCATTGCCAAATTTGTGAATAAGCAAATGGGATACCTGCATTGTGCTCACATTGTGCCCTAATATGTCAATAGTGAAATGAAAATGTGAAGCCAGTGGCCACACACAAATCCACTGTATTTGGGGAGAAAATTATTTCCTATCCTAATCTTCAGACTGTCAGTGAATCAGTTGTGCTCTTACTTATAGATCTGTATAGATAATCCACAATTAAAAGTTTATATGAGATTTGTGTCACAAATACAATGTCTTCCAATCTTAGCCATATTTTTGAAAGTGTAAAAAGCACACACTGTAGACATTGAGGCCAGAGTCTTTTGAAGGTTGGTTCCAATCAGATGTCTAGAATTATTTTGGCTGCAGCTTGCTTTTGAAATAGTTGACAGATTTATGTGGGAGGCAGTTGCAGAGATCAATTTGAATGTTCAAAGTTAAAGCACTTATCACCTGTTTTTCTCCTCTCTTTTTCTTTCTACTTACTATGCTAGGGATTCGAACTGTGACATAAATTAATAAGCTCCTGGTTATACTCAAAAGGATGATTTTGAAGATGAGCCAGATATATTTAGTATCTTCAGTGTATTGAAACATGGCCAGTGCTGCTCAGCAAGCTCTTGCTTAATAGCGTTTGCATTTGTTTCTCCATTGTTTCTTTTGAAATTATTTGTAAACATTTAGAGTGAACAATACCTCCCACATTAAACTGATGTGTTCCACAACTCAAAATTTTCAAATGAGCTGCCGAGAAAGATAGGTTCTGTTTGGTTTCACTGGTTCATAGGAAATGCTGGACTCATTGCAATAGATGGAAGGTGGTACCATTTCCCTGTGACTCAGAGGTGGAAACAGAAGAGTGATTTGCCATGCATATAGATGTGACCCTGTGGGAATGTTAAGGAAACATTTAAATTGTCTGAAAGGCTAATCTTTTTTTTTTTCTTTTTAAGATTGTGTCTTGCTATGTAGCCTAGGCTGGTCTCAAACTTGCAATCCTTTTGCCTCAGCCTCCTGAGTGCTGGGATTACAGGCTTGCACCACCATGTCCAGCTCTTTTATTGTTGCTGTTTAAGTTTTGTTTAAGTATTAGTTGTAAAAGAAGAAATTTTTGATGTGTCTCACAGTATTACTGCAATAGAGGAATGTGGAGTTCTAAGAAATACATATATGTCTCTGTCTCTGGTTCCTGAGACAGATCTCTTAAAACCTTTCTGGGTAGGGTTTCTGGGAGAATCTTTTGTTCTAATATCTGGCCTTTGACCCCAGTTCCTGATACAGAATTCCTGAAGTTCTGTGGATTGCCTAGGTAATAGGAGCATCTTTTGTTCCAATGAAGTGATTCTTCATGGGGTCCAGGAAGAGGGTCTGAAGATTGAGTTAATAATTGGATATGCCTATATGTGGCCTCCCTAAAAGTTCCTGAACTACAGGATTCAGGGAGCTTCTGTGACACACCCAAAAAATCCATGTGAGATCCTTTTTGCTTATTTAGGTCTTCTTTAATTTCTTTCAGTTATGCTTTTGTATTGTGCCTCTGATTAAATTTATTCCTATGTTATTCATTTTGATGCCATGTAAGTGGGATTATTCCCTTTATTTTCTTCTCAGTTTATTCATTGCTGTGTATATAGAAATATGACTGATTTATGTGTGTGTTCATCTTTTACTTATAACTTTGCTAAATTTGTTCTAATTATTAGTTCTAGCAGTTATTTTATATATTCTTTAGGCCCTACAGATAGAGATAATTTTTGCTTCTTTGTTTCCAGTTCAGATGCCTTTCCTTTCTTTTTCATACTAAATTGCTCTGGCTAGAACTTTCAGTACAATGTCAAATAGGAGTGCTAAAAGAAGGCATCCTTGTATTCTTGGTCTTATGGGGAAAACTTTCAGCCTTTTATGATTGAAAATGATTTCAGATGTTATATATATTGTTTTTATTAACATTATATGTATTCCATTTTTCACTTGAAAGAGATACACATTCATAGAAAAGTTCAGTGGATTATAAAACAAATACTCATTATACACTTTCTTCTGGTACATAGGAAGGATTTTGAAAAAGCTGCATCAAATATTGGAATGGGTGGGTCACTTAGACTACCATGTCACTTTGACAAAATTGACCACAGAAATAAACCACATAAGCCAGGCACCCATGACTCATGCCTGTAATCCTAGATACTTGGGAGGTTGAGATTGGGAAGATTGCACTTTGAGGCCAGCTCAGACAAATAGTTTATGAAACTCCATCTCCAAAATAACCAGACCAAAATGGACTGGAGGTGTGGCTCAAGCAGTAGAGAGCCTGCTTTGCAAGAGAAAAGCTGAGTTCAAATCCTAGTCCCACCAAAATCATATAATCAGGTGGAATTATTTTTTAATTGATTTGATCCAATTTCCAATTACTTTGACCTATATGAGACTTGGTTAAGGGAAGTTTTATATCTGCAGCAGGGAAATCTAGAGAAACAGTGACTGTTGTCTCGCCGCAGTTTCACAAAACATAGAATTGCGGAACTAAAAGCAGCTGTTCCTGGGATAGTTCGGTTTGGAAAAAATAAATAGGAACTTTGTACTAACAAAGGAAAAAGGTAAAAACATTTCTTATTTTGTTTTAGACACACTCAAATAGATTGTTTTTATAGGTCCTATATAAAGGACGAACTTTTTTGTGAAATTAGGAGATTCCCAAAAATGTAATGCACTGCCTCTCCCAGTTATGAGTGTCCCATCACCAAGAGATGAAAGTCAGGGAGAGCTGACTCACTGGACATGCCACAGAAAACAGGAAGCAGAGGTGCTAAAGTGCTCTACATGTTATGTTCTGTTGTCCTACATATAAACCACAGGAAAAGGAGCTCCAGAATTCATATTATTACAGTGCAGCTCCCTTGTACTAAATGTATCAATGTAAACTAAAAAAAAAAAAAAAAAATTTCCCTCATAACAGCCTGACAAAATACATAGACCACACAAACACTACAAAAAACCGCTATTTCCCTCTGTCAGCAATGACAACTTGCCTCAGGAGACAAAATGTGTCAGTGAAAAGCCATTGCCAGAATACTGACTCACATGAATAAAGAAACCCATTGTCTGTGGGATGAAGAGGAGATAGAACTCACCTCTGCACTGCAGAGGTGAGGAGGCAAAAAGAAAGGAGATACAGAAGTAGATTCAGCAGTCCAGTGTTTTCACATGTGGAATAAATAACCAAGGGCAGGAATAGAGCCTACCCTTTTTCTTTACTTCAGTTTTTCTTGTATATCAGTGTTTTATTTATCTTTTTGTTGTTGTTATTGTTGTGCTGGGTGTAGGTACATTGTAGCATTTACAAAGGTCTTCATTTTTATCAGAACATATTTTCATCTCTACCATTTGAACTGCTTTAGCATGTTCTGAAAGTCATTTTCTGAGTGTTACTGGACTGAGTGGTCTAAGAAGACATTAGTCCAGAAGATCCCAAGTTCTTGTGTTACCTGAACAGAGAACTGGACAGAGACACAAATTGCAAAATAGTAGCAAAACTTTGAGAGAAAAGGAAAGAGTAAGAGGAAAGCTCTGCAAAGGAAGTAGCGGGCCCTTGCCAGGTGGCACAGAAGCATTGATTTCTTTGTTGAAGCCCAATTTATAAATTGTACGGCAGGAAAAGTCCCTCCTTACGGGGAGGGATTAGAGTAGCTGGCAGGTTAAATTAACATAGCTGTATCACAGAACAAGGGGTCCCAAAATTTTTAGGCCTGTTAGCTTTTAAAAAAATGTGAGCCTGCACCGGTGGTTCACACCTGTAATCCTAGCTACTCAGGTGGCAAAGATGAGAAGGATTGCAGCTTGAAGAAGTCAGCCCAGGCAAATAGTTCACGAGCTCCTATGTCATGAATACCCAACATAAAACAGGTCTGGTGGAGTGGTTCACGTGGTAGAACACCTGCCTAGCAAGTGTGAGGCACTGAGTTCAAACCCCAGTACTTCCAAAATAAAGTCAATGTGATGTAGATGACTGGTGGTGGAAAAGTTGGGTAGATGTTTTGTCAAAAGACACACAAAATTTATGAGATGTATTAGTCAAGCATGGTGGCTCACATCTATAATCCCAGAACTCAGGAGACTGGAGGAGGATCACAAGTTGTAGGTCAGCCTAGGCTACATGGCAAGACTTGTGTGTGAGTGTGTGTGTATATGTGTGTGTGTGACAGAGAATGAGATTATACAAAATGGCAACTTCAGTTAATAAGTACATTGTACATTGTACTTTGAAAATTGCTGCGAGATTTTAAGTGTTCTCACCACAAAAAATAAGTGTGAAATAATGCATGTATTAGCACATCTGAGCCACACCACAGTGTATACTATGGAATAGATTTCAAAATGCCATATGCAATAAATACATACAGTTCTTACTTTCAAAGGGAAAAGAAAAAATGCTTATCTGACTAGCTGTCATGTGGCAAGTAAACATTTCTTTCTCCCCCTAGGGAAAAGTTAACCATTGGATGTCGCCAGCTGATTGAGATGGAGTATACCATGCAGCAATGCAGTGCAGCTGTCTGTATGGAAGTCAAAAACAGGATGGTGTGAAGACATGCTCCACCCAAGGACCTAAGTGCTGAGTGTAACTTAGGAGGAAATGCATTCTTCATAAGTAACAGTAACTTTCAATCTGGTCACTTTTTCTTTTGAAAAACTCAGGAAGATTTTAAGAAATGTTTCATAGATATAAAATTGGTATTACTGACAATCTCAATGAAGCTCTAAAAAAATGAATGTTCCCTTGTGGATACATTTTGGACTCAGCTCTTCTGGAGTTGACAGCACCTCCAGACCTGGACTACTGGTACCACACCTGTATCTGTAAGGGAAATCATCTCAGTACTCCATGGCAGGAGCCACTATGGCATCTGAGGTCAGCCCAGGATACAGCATTAACATCTCCCAATCCCATATATGGGCAAGTGGCTAGACGCTACTAAGAATTAGGCTGTGACCATGCTCACCACATTCCACCAATCAACTCTTATCCTGGGCTGCTTTATGATTCATACAAACCTGGAGGAAAGAACACACCTCCCTCAGGGTAATGAAAGAATTTTCATTTCAGCTTCTGTGTTCTTCATGGCTTTTTTCCTCTGGGCTTGTCACTTTTCAGTGCATTTCTAATGGGGAAGTGCCCCTGTGCGAAGTCACCCCTTCAGAGTGTGAAGCAGCATGGATTTCTGAGGTTAGTTGACAGTGACTGATGTTTGCCCCTACTGAGAGCCCAGAGTTTAATCGACTAATTTCTTACTTAGTTATACAGTAAGTTGGAAATCCTTGTTTACTGGGGTGTTTTACACTTCTGTTAAAATATTAAATCAAATTTTGTGTTAATTTATAAAAAGCAATAAATAACTTATTTTAGTAAGATTTTGTTTTTCATTTTACTTCAAAATAGTATTTCAGAAATGAGTATGAGGTGTGACTATAAAAGTGACCCTCTCCAGTAAGAACTGATTCAGGATGTTCAGGAGCAGTGGTGGACTCATGGCGCTTTCTATGGATGTTAGCAGGCCAAGGCAGTGACATGAGCCTCTGGCGACCAGGCCTCATGAGAGCACCTCAGCTCATTCCCAAGAACCCTTTTCAGATGTTTATCCCTCAGCTTCTAATTACTGGCTTTTCGTTTTGCTCTGCTCAGCTTTGTTACCTCCATCTGTTTCTCAGTGTAAAAGGTTATACACTTCATGAAATTCCCTTTTATTCCTGTTTTATCTTGCTTTTTGAACATTTTATTTCCAAACTTTTTTTTTTGAGATACGAAGATGTACTTTTCTAACTTTCCAGCCTTAATTTGCTTTACTAACAGTGTTTTAAATTTGTTTTCATTTGAGTGGTCAGGGTTTTTTCTCTTTCCCCCTCAATTCTTTTACATAAAACTTTTATATTTCTCCACTATGTTTTATGTTTGTTCTCCAATATGGGAGTTGAGGGTTGCTTTTACTCCCACCTCCTGTTTTTCTGGCTTCCCCTATGAGTTGGAATAACTTACTGGCTCATGGATCATAAGCCCTACCTTGTCAAACATACATTTGTTTTTATGGAAAATTGGTCATTCTTCAAAGACCAACTTCAGACTTTTTAAACTCTCCAATTTCTAATAGGTATGGTGAGTACATTTTGGGCAGAAGCTGTCACAAGCATGCTAGGCACCAGAAGAGACTGATTAATAGGGAGACACCCCCAAGGAAGAACTTTTTACATAACCCACCTTGGCCTTGCCCTAGTGAGGAGCTGATGGGTCAACTGCCTAAGACAGCAGCTACAAGATTACGCCAGAAACACTCCATGCTTAGGTTCTTGGTCCCATTTTACAAGCCTTTCCAACTTTCTTTTACAAAAAAAGTCCATTTCCCTCCTGGGAGGACACCCTTTGTTGGAAGTCCCTAGCTCTCTTCATTTTCAGGGCCAAGAAAAAGTAGCTAAGAACAGGAAATTGTACTGCACTGGTTCCTCTTATTAAGACCTATGGGGGGGCTTGTAACTGCACAGATTAGATTAGAACTTTACAGAAGGGTTAATGTCACTTTCACAATGTGGGTTTTTGCCTGTCACATGAAAGATCAGGTAACTTAAGTTTAATTTCCTTTGTATTTTGAGCATCATCTTAAGATGATACTTTTGTTTTTCCTTAAGGAAAAAATAAAATTCCTTTCACAGTCAATCCATGTTTGTGTAGATGGTACCTTTCGTCAGGCCTCCTGAGCTTATGTCATACTATTCACATTCCTGACTTTTGGCAACTCCCTTGCCTACCCATCAAGTGAAGTTCTTTCCAGTCCACAATGAGGGGTGAAGATGAATTTACCTCTTAAAAGGAATATATTCCATCACTGAACAATCAAATGCATCTTTTACTGAGGAAGTGATGCTACTCATAGCACTTCTAATTTAAAAGACTGGACAGACCAGTTTTCCTACCCTTATGTTTTCATGGCTCTTAGGGTCATTTGCTAATAAACCCACTCCAGCAAATATAACTAAAACTCCAAGAGGGCAAATACTACACTGTCTCCAGTTTTCCAATTCAAAGTTGTGGTTGGTAATTTTGTTTTTGATGGTACTGGGATTACCCATGCTTGCCAGGCAGAGGCTGTATCACTTGAGCCACCCCACCAGCCCTATTGACTTGCAGACTCACCTACTAAAAAAAACACATGCTCTACCTTTGTCTACCGGTTTGATTTGAAAGCTATTTGTAGTGTGCAATAAGTAAAAATCCACTTAGTAAACTCAAATGGATATATCTGTGAATGTGCCCCACAACAGCACATTCTGCTGGAGTCAAGAGTACCCCAAAGTGTTGGCTCTCTGACAAGTTTACATATCTGTATGTAAACCTGCATTAAAAAACACCCATGTGGTGTATTTTTTTAGTGTCTTTTGGTGAAAACAAGAATTAGTCAACCTGAGGGTTCATAGGTAATTTTTTGGACATGATAGGAATCCTGTTAAATTGTGATCCAGTTGTGTGTAAACTGGATGTGATTTACCTCAAATTTAATTCTGGATGCTGACAACATTGAGAGCTCTAAGAAAATCTGGAAGGTGAGGTGGTGAGCACTCAAAACTCAGCTACAAGCTTAATTCAGTGTTCCTAACTACAAATCAATTCCAATCTTTTTCTTAATTTAAACTTGATTCCTTTGCAACTCTAATGTAAACTAGTGATCATGGGCTAAACTATACTAATAACTCAGTACAGTGGTGATATGAGAATGGTTCTCTGTGTTCTTTAAGCCCTTCTCTTATGCCTGCTACTTTAAAGAGCACTGTTTTTTGTTTTTAATTCTTAACCTTAGCTGTAACAGCTTCTTTAAAAACACACTTTTAGCCACCAAACTTCATTTGTCATCAATGGTTATGCAGGAAAACTTTGACCCAAAGTATTCCCACATTTTATTTGCATGAAGCATGTTATTTACGAAATAACTGATTTCAAGAATTTCAGTGCTTGAATCCTCTTCTAAAACTTTATTTCCTTGTGTTGAATAGAACATACACATATCCATATAAAGAATAGTCATATTAGGCAAATTCAAATCTGCTAACCTGCTAAACTAGTTTTAGTCCAGAAATAAACCAACATAGATGGTTAGTCAGGAACTACACAGTAACCAAGTGCACTGATTTCCTTTCTTGGTGGTTCTTTGTGAAATATGAGAGAAACAAGGTGGCAAAGGACTAGCAGAACGTTTCAAGAAATACCTAATGTTTTCATAACCCAACTTAGCAGTGAATAGTTAGAACTTCATTCAAACTGGCTCATTAGGTTCCTGCATGCCTCTTCATCTTCTGTGGGGGAAAAATAAAACAACCTTACATTACCCCTTACTCTAGTAGCTGTAAGAAGCCAGGTCAATCTTTTCTACAAATACCTTAAGTTCTTCTTACTGGGAAAAAAAAATGTCCCCAGACTTTGAGTATGCAAACAACATTTGGACAATAACGCAACAGTGCAGCTATGTTTGCATCTGCAGCAAGCATTAGGACGTGTTAGTTTTGGCACTGTAAGTTCTATGTGTAGCACTACGCATTAGACATCAAGTCATTCCAACCAGTATTTACCCATGTGAACAGAAAAACTGAACAAAATGTAGTTCTGATAAAAAGCTGCATTCACAAATCCAATAAAGTAATTTTTTAATCAAGTGCTTCCATTTAGGACTGTTTTGTTAATGATAAATAAAAAGAGGAATTATTCAGAAGGTAAAATACTTGTTTTTTTTTTTTTTTGCTGCTATGTATTAGATGTCCTGCCTTCACCAAGTTAAAATAATTCAGACCAGTGTTTGAAATACCAAGTCATCACTATGTTACTGTTCAGCAACTCCATTCAAATAAATGACACTGCAGTCTCCAAAAAAAAATGCAGCTGAGGCAAATGCTTACAAGACTGCATTCTGAGCACTGAAAACACCCTACTCTGCATCCTTTAAGACTGCCACTCTGCTCCAGTAACTCGAATCTGTCACATTTTACTTCAACAGATAAAGCACTCTGCTGAGAATATAAAAAGCTATAAAAAGGCAATCATAAAAGATTAAATACTGGTAGGCATGTCAGCTGTTTTAATAAAAACAAAAATAGTCACTGTCATCTACTTAAGTGTCTTTTGCTACATAATGTTCCAGTTATTTGAAAAAGGGTCCCTAAAAATCCTAACTGCCTACATGTTTAAAATCTTACCCCCTCCATCTCATAATACATGACTGAGGAAAGTCATTTAATGTGCAAACTGGCAAACAAATGTGGAGGAGAGGGACTTCTTGAAATGATCTGCCCAATCAGTTCCGGTTTATTCTTTTACAATATCAACTTCCAAAAAGTAAAATAACCAAAGAAATCTTGAAACTACACAAAACAGACCTTCATCTGCATTCCTTTCCAAACACAAAAGTTATGTACAGCATGTTTAATAATATGCAATATGCAAAAGCTTCGTGTTGCTGTCAGCAACTCTCTACCCGCCCTCCCTCCTTACTCACAAGTGTCCTCTACTTAACACAATTACATCACTAAGCCTGTTAGTTTGAGAGGGTCTTAAGTTTGTTAAAATTGGAAAATCTTTGTATAAGGGCTCCACTCATTTGATTCCGCATTATAGACTTCCACTGTGTTCAGAAATTCATTGCCATCGAATCCTCCCACTGCATAAATGGTGTTCCCTACAGTTGCAATGCCAGCGTTGCTCCTCGGTGAAGTCATGTTTCCCATCATCTTCCATTCATTTCTGGTTGGATCGTACATCTCCACACAACTGATAGCATGAGAACCATCAAAGCCACCACCTACAAACAGTTTTCCTAAAAGAGAAGTGAAGCACAGTAAATCTAGATAGGCCAAACTATAACAAGGAAAAAAACAAAACCCAGATCTGTCTTTTCCTAGAAAAAAATCAAATTTTAAGTAACTTTTTTTTTGTTAGGAGGATACATACATGCCTGTGTAATATAGCAAGCACTCTCTGGATGCTGGAATTCACATGAGTAAAATGGATAAACACCTTTCCCACAGGGAACTTAAAAGGGGAGAAGCACCTAAAGTACATTTCTCACACTGTAACTCTGGGGTAGTTACTGCACAACTCACTTTAAGTGGTGAACTAGACAGCTCTGTGCATTGGAACTTTTGTACTAATTCACTGCATAGAACTAAAATACTCAAAACTTAAGTTTCTTCAGATAACAAATCTGAGAACTTTCCATCTATATAAAAACTTGAGTATAGAAGTTTCTTCCACAAACTTGCAAATATATATATGCAAATAGTTTCTCAGCATTAAATACTCTGTAGTTTGGAAAAACTGTTACTGATTCTCACATTCATTACTTTCTCATCTGACGATCACCTAGTCAACCTGCATCCATGATCTATAAAACGCCCAAGGCAAGGCTCACTCAAAGCTGAAGGCTCAGCTAGTAGGGTGCTCACAATATCTACACACTGAAGCCTTCACAATGAGCCACAAGCCTACTAAGATTCAGCTGTGTTCCAAAAATGATGCTAACTAAATCATAATTATATAATTATTAGAATTTAATGTTTTGAAGAGATTATTAAAATAGTACAAAGGTTTTATTTCCAATTAGCTATGGAATAAACAACTGGAAAAGACAAGGGATCTGCATTTACATTGTTTGGAAATCACATTTTTAAAATTACCATTCTGAGGAAAAGGAAACTCAAAATCCAAGATGATGAATTATGGGTGCAGATAATGAAAAAAAAAGATTTGGAACTTCATTAAGTACACTCACCAAAAGATTGAATCTCATTAGAAAACAAAAACAAGAGTGGTGGAGTGGCTCAAGTAGTAAAAGCGCCTGCCTAGAAAGCACAAGGTGCTGAGCCTGAGTTCACACCCCAGTGCCCCCATCCCCGAAAAAAAATCAAAATACTTCCAAAGACAAACCTCAATTTCCACTGCATTAGAAAGGATGGTTGCCTTTGCTTATACTCTCTCTACAACAAAATTAGAGATAAGGGCAAAATAGTTTCTGCTGGGTATTGAGGGGGGGGAGCGGGAGGGGGTGGAGTGGGTGGTAAGGGAGGGGGTGGGGGCAGGGGGGAGAAATGAACCAAGCCTTGTATGCACATATGAATAATAAAAGAAAAATGAAAAAAAAAAAAAAAAAAAGAGGGGGGTTAAGGGAGGGAGTGGGAGGGAAGGGGGGAGAAATGACCCAAACGTATGCACATATGAATAAAATAAAAATTAAAAAAAAAAAAAAAAAAAAAAAAGGATGGTTGCTTGTGAATTCTCAATTATTTAAGTGTACAGTTACTACTGATGACAGTTTCTTGGAACTTTAGGACAGACTCTTGCTACTATCTATTACTTCTTCAAATTTCAATACTCACCGTCAAGAACAGCTACTCCAGCTCCTCGCCTAGCTACATTCATGGGTGCAATTAAACTCCAGGTGTTATTTTCAGGATTGTAACGCTCTACTGTGTTCAGACAATTCCAAGATTCTGCACCTCCAATGATGTACAAATAACCACCAAGCTCACAAACTGCAGATTGGTGTCTACCTATAAAATCAAGTCAAACCAAGATTATTACCACAGCTATCAGAGCCTGTGAAGTACGTACATGCATATTGCTAATTAACAGGGTTTTAAGGAAAAAATCAACTTACGAATGTTAAGAGGAGCACAGCTTGTCCATGACTTTGTTATAGGATCAAATACATCACAATTTTTCAGTCCTTTTTGACCGTATGGATCGGAGCCACCAACGATGTATAATTTTCCATTGAGAGCACACACTCCTAGAGTAAGTGTAAAATATGACACTGTATCAGTAACTTAATTATTATATTTAATACTGGCTAACTCAGAAGAACAGTATTACTACCTGCATTACAACGGTTAGTTCTCAACTCTGGTACAGGGGTCCAGTCATCAATGTTTGGATCATACATTTCTCCACAACTCAGGTCATCAGAGTGGCCATTCGACCCACCGACCACATAGAGCTGACCCTATGATAAGGTGAGAGGTAAGAATTTCTACCATTCTGAAGTTATGAGGGAAAAAACTAAATAGGGACTGCTTCTACAACACAATGTGCTTACCATGAGTACAGCCATCTGAAATCGAGCTCTTGGTGTTCTCATGGGAGCAAGAAAGGACCAATGATCTGTATGTGGATCATAGCATTCAACTGTTCGAAGACATTCCTCTCTGTTATAGCCACCTGGTGAAATACCCACAAAGATTTATGTTTAGGTCTCGTGGAGTGGCTCTGAGTTCAAACCCCAGTGCAGCCAAAAACCAAAAAAAGATTTGTTTAAACTATTAAACTAGGACAAAGGTTCCTGGTACAGAATATTTTTTTCTTTTGTGACAGGGTCTCTCTATACAGCCCAGTTGGTTCTTGAATTCAAGATCCTTTTGTCTTATAGGTTTACGCCAGCACAATGCGTTAAGTAATGTGCACAATGAGAAAAAAAACATTAAAAACTTTAAGCTGGTGTTTTAACCAAAAGCCATTAATAGTCAAAGAATAACATTAGTATGTGAACAAATTGCTTATTCTGGGCTTGAAAGTTAGGAAGACAAATTTACCCACTCTCTATATAGTTCTTTTTAAAAATTATGAACAGACTGGGTCAAAGGCAGAGCACTTGTCTAGCATGTGGGAGACATGAGCTTCAATCTTCAGTATCACCAAAGGGAAAATTCAGTTTAAATTTGAAAGACATTGACATGGTACTGTTATTTCTGTCTTTTTGAAATGCCATGGAAGAAAGCATATCAAGTCCTCTCTCTCCAGATTTGCAAAGCACAAGCCAGACCAAATGCCTGCTCATAGGCTTATCCAGCTGTCTCCGAGAAATTGTGAATCCTGTTCTCACCTGCTGCTATGAGTCTGCCATTCATCTCTGCTGTCCCCAGACCAGACCGTGCATACTGCATAGGAGACATGGGCTTTTCTATTAGTTCGTCTGGCGGCATCTCAAAGCTTAGACTCTTGATTAGTTTTGGAGTACTTGTTGGTGAGCTCTGTGGGCTGTTTCGCCCGTGAAGAAAAATTACACAGAATATACCATCCAGCACAGCCAGGCACAAGTAAGTGTTATCTGTAAACACAAGAGTTCTATGTTTACAACGCAATTATTAACACTTGTGGTTAGTGTATGATTCTGAACTGGACTCCACAGTCTCCAGATCCCTGACTGAAACATCTACTATTGTTTTCCATATTAATAGCTTCTGAATTTTTCCTTGTCAATCTAAAAATATTAAAACTGATTAAAGCTCCTTTAAAACAGATAAACTGAAGACAAATCTGGCCACTGTCATATACTTACTTGAAGTCTTTTCTGAAGCAACAATTTTCCACTCGTGCTTAGGGCTTTGTACAGTAGCATTTGGAGAAGGGACACATCCAGTGGAACTGCTACTTAACTGCTTATGGCCATTCTCACGTGGTGGCTTTTTCTGCAAAATCAAAAGGTAGCTACAGAAACCTAGCCAAAAACCATACCTGGTGTACCTTTGTTCCTGAGCTAGTCCACAACACTGCCAAAGCAGTGAGTACCTTCCACCTATGTGTGACACTGACAGTACACTAGACTTCACACAAGGCCAACAACATTTTCCAGGTAACAAAAATTACTGACATACTTCCATCTCCACTTAATAATGAAACAACTACACCTACATAATTGGTCAGAAAAGGCTCAATTTAAACAATTCAAAAGCCATGCTGCGGATCAGGCATCAAAATGGTATTTCAATATGAGGGTTAAAAGGAAAGCATCTATAATGCACATCTCAAGTTTTTTTTTATATTGTCTAAAAAAAAGAGGTTATAAATTTAAAATGAGATGAGTTAACTGCAAAAGTACAGTTAACCCACTATCTCCATGAAGTTGTTGAACCCAACTAAACCATATGTACTGGTACCCTTCATGCAGTAACAGCACAAAGTGGGCAGACAATACATTCACCCAATCTGTCTGCAAGTATTTTACAGGAAAATAAGGGGCAATCACAAGAAGCACTTAAGTACTTTTTTTTTTAGGGCTGCCTTGTAGGTATGCTGGCCAAAATTACATCAACACAAAAGTAGAAACTAGAAATGAAATAATACTAATATTCACAAAGTCAGAATACACAGGACAAATAAAAATGGACAAATGAGTCTAAGAGAACTACACACATGGGTCCTCATGTCTGTTTTCTTTATGGCTTTCTTCCAGCTACTTTAGTCCTTGCCACTTCCAACAGCTATGATCATAAAGCATTGGAAGAGTCAGAACTACCCTGAGAGGAACTGCCGAATGAACAGGTCCCACCATCAGTACCTAGTCAACCCATTTACTCTGGCCCCCAGGGCCAGACCACATGAATAGGTAAAGTTTTGAAGGGAAATTTCTGTGGCTGGTGAAAATGAAAAGTATAGAGAAGTGTAGTAATGGACTTTGACAGCTTCTTGAAGCTATAAAAAGATGTATATTGGCCAGGCACAGTGGCTCATCCCTGTATTCCCAGTTACCCGCGAGACATAGATCAGGATAGCAGTTCCAAGGCAGCCCAGGCAAAAAGTTAGGGAGACCCCATCTCAACAAATAAGCTAGGTGTGGTGGTGCATATCTGCAATCCCATCTATGCAGAAGGCTTAAGTAGGAGGAATGAGGTCCCAGGTCCCCCCAGGTGAAAGCACAAGACCCTTTCAGAAAAATAGATAAAGCAAAAAATGGAAGGCATGGTAAGTGCTTGCCTAGCAAGTTTAAGACCCTGGTTCAAAACTCCAGTACCCCATCTCCCTTCCCCAATCATACAGTTAGGTCTGGCCTGGTGTGGTGGAAAACACATTTAATCCCAGCACTCTGAAGGACGAGGCAGGAGGACTGTGAGTTCCTGGCCAGTCTTGGCTGAACAGCAAGACCCTTGCCTCCAAAATGTTAAGTCTGGGCCATTCATTCAACAAATGTAGTTAGAGATTATCTGTGCTCTCTTTGGAATGTATGATGTCAACAGTTATCATTAAATCCATGTAGACATCTAGGTATAGCTATTAGCAGGCACTCTATCCACACTATCTCTTTTAATCTAGAGAAGTGGCTTACATTACTCAGAGGATACTATAAAGTAATGCAGTTAAAATTAAGATCACTAATTCTGAGAACTTTAAACTCTGGCGAACTGCATCACAGTATAAAAATACCAGGAATAAAAAAAAGTTAGCGATATCTAACCTGATGTGCATCAGATATTGCAAGTTATATAAAAACCCCACCCTAACCTGAGGAGTACAAAAGTATCACAAATGACAATGAGGTTTTACTGCAGTAAGACTGCTTGACTGTATCGACTGTAACTGAGAGAAAACGTATGTGACAGAGAAAGGCACTACAGCACAGAAGACTGCTAGCATTATACAGAAGGGCTAATACACAATTGCTGGTGACTCCTTATGCGTACAGCACCTATTCCTAGCCATATTTTACACGAACTCCCAGAGGAGGAATTCAACAGTTTACAATTGATTCCACCTTCAACCTCAGATGGCTTTCACTGCATGACTGATTCTAAACCTACTCCTACCTTTCCAATGGTTTCTTCTCAGCCTCTTTTTCCTATTCCTACAGTGTACTGTGAGGGCCCTCATCCTAAGTACTTCATCATCTCTATTCATGGCATTCTAGCAAGTCACAATCTCACTCATGCTCAAATTCTTTCTTCATTTTCTCAAACCTTCCTGACAATCACTAAGGCCTGCTAACTTAGTGATTAACTAACTCCATCTTTACAGGTCTATTTAAAGACATACAGGTAAAGAAGCATCCTTTCTCCTTCATGCCCTCAGAGTAAGTCTTCATTGTTTTTTAAACCTGAACTACTGCTTATAATGTCTATAAACCAGTCTCACAAGCTTTTTAATCTACACTAAGTGCCTGGCTATAAAAACAGCAAGAGTTCAAGGAAACAACTGAAGGAAGTTGAGAAACCAATCAGTTGGGAGCTCAACTGGTATTAACCATGTGCCATAAACACTGAATAGAAATGTCCTAATTCACACAATCCCCACTGCTGGACTGTGCCCCAAGTGAAAACTTATACTGAAGTTGTGAAGTATGCTCCTATCACTCTCCTTTCATCTAAGTCCTTCTTGCTGCCTACAGGATAAATTGTAAGCACCATCTAGCATTTAAGATTTGAGGGCCTGAAGATGTGGCTCAGTGGGAGGCCCTAGATTTGATCCCCAGCATATACAAAAAAATGCTTTAAACTGTGTGCCTTTCTGTATGTTATTTGTCCATGTTTATTCTCTATTAAAAGAATTTGTCTGAATAATTATGTGCTTAATAAAAGGAAAAGTAACTCAATCAGGATAATGGAACTATACTATGTTTTAATTCATTTTGCTTAAGAAACATTCAGCTCATTGTAACATATGATAAACCACTTCTAAGTTTGTAACATTGAGTAAACTTGTGGACATCATAAGCCATCTTAACGTGGTATCCATCTTACTGTATCATTTCTAATTTCAAATAGCCAAAATTTCTTTCAATAGTCATCAATAATTTAAGTCCTCCTACATCTTTAAAAACAAAAACAAGAAACTGGGTCTATCAGTCATGCCTGTTGCAAACAATTATTTTTATAACCTAACCAATAATGTCTATACGTCTTCATCTTAATGTCCTTTTATTTGCTACTCTGTAATTTCTACTTTATGAGAAAAAAATCCAAACCGTATTTGCTTAATGTCTCTTCATGTGCAAAAAAATGCTATAACTGTAAGATATGTAAGACGTTTTCTCCCAAAAGTGGTTTTGTGCAGTTATACCAATGAAATTCGTCCACTTTCCTTATTAAAGGAAAATTTAAGTATGCTATAAGAAAATTCTCCGAATTTTAACCTGAGGTTACCTCAGACTGTGCAATGTGTACCTGCACAAACTGAATGTGGTCATCATCACTGCCAAACACCTCAGCCTGTCCATCTAGTAGGTTCCCATCAAGCAGCTTGTGATCAGCTGAGTAGTACAAGGTTTGAACCTGCAAAACAGCAACAGAACACCCATGTGGCCACTGTCACCATGGCTACTCAGCTAGTGCGCAGATTACACAACCGCTTCAAGGTAACCTCCAGGGTGCTTCTTGAGCTCTTGATATCTTATTCTGGCAGGATCCCGAGGTAAAGAAAAATACATGTCATGATGGAAAAAATTTAAAAAGCAAAACCAAAAACAAAATCTTCTGATACTGGCTGAAGAGTCCTTAGCTTGATTGGCTTGAAAGAAATCTTCATTTTTTTTCATAGCTTCTATTATATAACATTAAGAAAAAAAGGCACCAGTACAACATATAGATTCTTAAAGAATATACATATTTACAATAAAATACTGAAAAATTTACACCTTTGAAGATAAATGGTCTGAATGGCATAAACATACTTTTCTCCTATAGGTAATGTCAAGAAAAACAGACAAAGAAAAAACAAAGGCAAAAATTCAGGCAAGCTGTAATGTTCCTGGACAGATGCAAATACATGGCTAAAGCACCTGCCTGCTTTCAAATAGGAAATCAGAATTTAAGGATCTGTTAATCTTTTCAGAGTATAAATAGAACAGTGTTTTTGTAGGCCCAAAAGACTTGGTAAGCCCTTACTGATTCTGAAAGGAAGGCTTATGTGGAATGATAAACTCAATGTTACTCCACTGCTCCAATCTGCATATTGCTAATTCCCACAACTGCTCCATCAATTTTGTTTTTCTTTTATATTTTTTTAAAGTAGTCCAACTTAAGCGTCTGACTATATGTATGAACAACACCATTGAAAAACATAAGCTTTAAAGATAATCCTGTAAAGGAGTAAACACCATTAAATCATCATCGTTCTCTGCCCACAGCGGATTTTTCTTAGGAGAACTGGGGCAGGACTGCTGCTTCTTTACGTGTCAATACACTTGAGGTTTCTTCTGGTTTCTTCAGTCTTGGGTATCCTAGTTTTGTTAATAAACCTATGGGGAGATAAACCAATGGGGAGGAACAACCATTAGAAGCTTTACCTACTTGTAAAATTTAAAGCAAAAACCTGTGAAGAAAAATTAAGAATCTACAGAAAATTTCAGTACCACCTCCCATTTCTAAAGCAAATTACATGCTACTTTAAAGAAAGTTAACAGCACATAATAAGCAAAGAAATAATAAAAAGAAAGCAGAAGACCAAACTGAACAATTCATTCAGCTCACCTGGACACCCCCCCTGTTTCTCAGCTTAGGGGTACCTATAGCAAAATTTAAATTCTTTAGGGTCATGGTTATAAAATAAAAGTGAAAGGGAATCCTTCATGTTGTAAAAAAAATTATCTTTAAAAACTGTTGAATCCCATTTACTTTAAAACTAACCTCTTCCATCAGCTCTTCCAGACTGTCTCCGTTCTCCCAGATGCTACGCTGCACCCAGTTGATTACCTTTGTATACAATTTGCCATTGCTGGGCAAGCAAACATTATCTTCAAGCATTACCTCCAACTAGAATTGGGGGTGCGGGGAGGAAACAGTGACATACACATCAGTGATGAAATTCTAATTTTCAGCTTAATTCTCAATTTCATAATAAAAGTTTCCATTCCATACATTTACTCTAATTTGCAAGGAAACCAGTAACCCAAAACAGAAAAACCAAACAAGTAAACAGAAACCCATTACACTCATAAGAATGACAGTAAGTCAAAATATCATTTTCATAACCATCACTTTCTTATATGAACACAAATTCTGTGCGCCTAGAACTAGGTGGTATAAATTTGTTTCTAAGTTTGTACTTCTTACCTTTAGTCGTGGAAGCTTAAGAAATTCCTCCTCTTCTGAAATTTGTAGCAAATGTTCCTGAATATAAGCATCAACCTTATTCAACAAACGGGAGTCTCCCATACAACTTGCAAAATTTCGGTAAGAAATGCAGCTGGTAATATCCATTCTAGATAGTAAATAATCACCACAAACCTTGGAAAAGAAATACGTAAGTGCCAACATTTACATGTAAGTTATTCAACATTTAATGCGTAAGCACTATATGACAATGAAAGTTGAGTCAAAAACCAGTGTCACCATACAAAAACTTTAACAGTGGCAATAACCCATGTACAAGTTATAAACATCAGGCAGGAATGGTGGCACACATGCCTGTGGTATCAGCACTCAGGAGGCCGAGGCATGAGGATCCTGAGTTCAAAGCCAGTCTGGGCTATAAAGGGAGAGACCCTGTCTCAAAACACAAAAAGAAACAACAAAAAGCAAACATCAGGGCAAGCCCTAATGGCTCAAGTGGCAGAACACTAGCCTAGCAAGTTTGCAAACAAGTATCAAAGAATGCCATACAAATACGCAAGTTATTTAAGGACAGACATACGTAACAAGAATAATTAAGGTTTCATGAATGGCAATATCCACACTGAGCTCTACAAGAGAGACAGTGTTGATGCTGAATGCAGACAGATACAGTTTGGCTTGGACAAAAAGTAAGACAACTGGGAAGTAATTTTGGGAAAATAGCCATCTACATCATAGAGACCCTAAACCGAAACTAAGGAACAGGGACAGCAAACCAAACATTTTCTTCAAGGGTAGGCTTTAGGCTTGCGGGCCATACCATCCATCACAACTACTCAACATGGTTACTGTAGCTGGAAAACAGGCACAGATCGTATGTAAATGAATGCACCTAGCTGTTTTCCAATGAAACTTTATTTAACTTTACTCAAAAAAAAAACAGGAGGCTATGGCCTGCAGATTGCTGACTTCCTGCACTAGAGGATTAAATGGTCTTTTTCTTAGTAAGCACTTCTCAATGGCATTAAATTTGGGACAAAATTTAATTTAAACAAGAACCAAAAGGAGATAACAAAAAATTGAAGACATAAATTATGTGATTAACTCTTTGGGCAAAACAAGTGCCCAAGATTCATACTATCAGAGATTAGCAATATACCACTTCAATTCACTAACACATTCTACTGGCACAACTCTGGGATGAACACCCAGGTTTTTAAAAATATGCTCATCCAGAAAGGTATGTACAAGTCCAGGCAGCCCAGGGAGAGCTGAAGTTTTATGGTTTCATGTTAGTAACTTTACAGTTGCGGTCTAATTAGTGCCACTTAATGTATGTTACCAAAAATTAAAATATCTACCCCACTTTTTGTGTAAGTGGATTTCCTAATATTGGTTATCTGTTGCCCCCACAGAAAAATGATTTTTTCAAAAAAGGCCCTGTGTGGTGGCTCACATCTATAATCCCAGCTACTTAGGAGGAAGCAATTGGGAGGCTGAGGCCAGCAAGGGGGAAGGGATGAAGAGAGTGAGAGCTCCAACTCAATCAATAAGCTTGGCGTGGTAGCACACACCTATGGTACCAGCTATGCAAAAGGCTATAGGTAGGAGGCTCAGGCAAAAACACCAAGACCCTACTTAAAAAAACAACTAAAGCAAAAAGGTCCAGAGGATGGGGTGTGGGTGGCAGCTCAAGTAGCAGAGCTCCTGTCTATCAAGTGTGAGGCCAAGTTCAAACCCTAGCACTGCCAAAAAAAAAAAAAAAAGTGCAAGCTAAGCACTTTATGCTACACAACATAAAGCGTAACAAGGACTCACGTGCACTCTAGGCAAGCCCAGACCCAGGCAAAACTGCAAGACCATATTCCAAAATTAACTACAATCACAAAAGGGCTGGGATGTGACTCCAGTGTTAGAGCATCTGCCTAACTCGACCCCACAAAACAAAATAAAAAAACTCAAAAACATCATTAGAAAATAAAGTCAGGTGGAAATACACTAGGGAGTGGAGGGACCGACATAGTCACTGTGCCACAGAAGACTATCAAAAGAGTAAAATATTAGCCCAAATCATTTTCCTGAGAAATCTGATCTTGCTATATTACTAAAGTCAAAAGGTTAAAACATATTCTGGCTTTTTCTTTTTTGGAGGTGGGGCGGTTGGCATTTTCAGATCCTTGGAACCTATGAAGTGTTTTATGACAATTTCTGCATTCTGATCACACAAAACTCCCTAGTAACAGTAATCCTTTATATTACTTCTGATACTCTACCTGCTTTACTCGGTCCATCTTCAGCTTTTTTGCTGCAGAATAAACATCTTTCACTAATTCCTTATCAGCTTTCAACCTATTAAGAAAAAATTCTTTAGAATACCAAGGCCTTAAAACATAAGACATTTACTAATTTAGATACACTAGGGAGACCTGGAATTTCCTGATATTCCCTAATTATATGGTATAAAGTACTTACTGAGCAGTGTACGCATAATTCAACAAGACTTCAACAGCTTCTGGATTGAGATCATCAAATTTAACATGAGAAACTCCGTGAGGATCACTATCACTATTAAAGATTTCAAATAAATAGGGACTGCAACAAGCCAGTACTGCTCTGTGTGCTAACATCTCATGGCCACAGACCTGAAATTGTAAAAAAAATCCAAATTAGAAGTACTGTGTACTTCTCTAGCTTTTTATATACTTCTCCACCTACTTCTCAGCTCCCTTATCTTATATTTCTAAGTAAAACACACGCTTTTAAAAAGTCATTTCATTAAATACCTACAGGGAAAAAAAGAAATCCAAGAATTTATGGCTTTTAGTAACTGATCTTTTTAGCAACAAAGATAATTAAGTTTCCATCTATGTTTTAAATACCTGAAGTCGAACATCACAGAACTGGCCACTTTTCCTCAAGGCATTTAATTTGGCAACAGAAGATTCAATAAAATTCTCATCTTCAAACATCAAATACCCATTGGGGATCATTTTTCCTTATAAATTTGGCTAAACAGAAGAAAGGAAGAGCAGTTATTTTAGTTGCAAATGGTGACATTTAAAGTTATATTTTAAGGGCTGAGGGTTTGGTTCAAGTGGTAGAGTGCTTGTCTAGCAAGCACAAAGCCCTGAGTTCAAACCCCAGTATGTGTGTGTGTGTGTGTGTGTGTGTGTGTGAAAAATGTAATACTCTTTATTCTCAAATTCCATCTTATTGACAACACATAAAATGCTTTACCACCTAAAAACTTGGGTAAACACTAGTGCTAAATACCCAAACTTTTGTAGCCCCATGCTTTGATCCCAAGTCTTTTCTATTTCATTCTTTTTTTTTTTTGGTTGGTGGTACGAGGGTCTGAGCTCAGGGCCTTGCACTTGCTAGGCAGGTGCTCTACCATTTGAGCCACTCCCCCAGCTCTTGAACCTCAGTCTTTTTAAGTATTCACACACTAGTGGGGATCAACAACTGGAACCAGGTTGCCATTCCTATTAGCACGTTCATTCTGCTTTTAAAGGAGGAAAATTAAACTATTCTGCCTAAACTTACATAACAAGCAACATGAAATTCCTAGAAGGACGTGACACAGTCATCACATACAGATTTCCTTAGATTTGAGTTGCTGTCATTCCTTTGCTCACAAATGGGAAAAAACTATTATATATCTCAATGGTATACTTTTGCAGTTTCCTTTGAGGGCCTTAAATTTGCCTTTCTCAAAATTATATGTAATCACCAAACTACTTAACTTCTTCCCCCACTGCCTAAAACACATAGTAAGTCTTGGCACTGTAACCGCCAGATGATCCTTACAAATGGTCTTAAATATATAAGGTTGGGAGATGTCTTCTGTTCCCTTTTTAAGTTTCACAAATTCAAAACCACTGATTTCCTTAGGTAACAGAATAGAAGCTAATGTTCTTTAAATTTTTTTCAATTTACCTTTATTAAACAAATCACTAATGAGTACACAAAATACACCATTAAAAAGCAGTAATAGGAGCTGGGCATGGTGGTGCATGCCTATAATCCCAGAGCACAGAAGGATGAGGCAGGAGGATCACAAGATGGAGCCCGGCCTGGGGTAGACAGTGAAACTCTGCCTCAAAAAATCAGTAACAGGAGGTTTCAGTTTGAAGCAACTTAAATTCAAAATAGTTTACAGGAAGAAAAAATACAAAAATGTTTTCCATATTCACATTTGAATGATGACTGACATTTCTGCCTTTTTAAACATTAAAAAAAATTTTAAACATTAAAAAAGGCTGTTGCAAAATTACAAAATTAGAAATCTGTTGTATCTTTAGGTTAGATTGGGCACTGAATATTAACTTACCTAATATACTGGTGAGAAATGTACTACTTCAAACTCAAATGATCCAAAGACAAAGGAGTGTTGAAAGGAAGCACTCAGTCAAGGTCCGAAAACAGGTGGTTGAGGTGACGGTAGATGTGTCTTAAGCTCTAATGGTGGTTCCAAAACTATCAGGCTTGAAAATGATGTAATCAAGTCCTTAAAAGCTATAGACACGAATTTCTTCTGTGATAATCATGCATCATAATCTATAACAATGACAAATCTAAGTTAGATATTCAGAACAATCAAAGTCTGTCACTGGTCTAGGTAGAGCAGAGCATGCAAACAAGTCCTAATCTTTAAGCGATTCTGAGGTAAAAGGCAAAAATAATCACACTACATAAAAAAACACAAATATTAATTATACACATACAATTTTCATATAACTTGCAACTACTCAGGTGATCTTTGCAAAAATACTTCCTCAGAGGGCAGGAACTAATTGTTTAAGTGGGATACATAAGCCTAAGAATTAAAAAGCAAATATAAACACTAGTTGACACTAATACTTTTTTTACTGTTAGATTTCAACTAACATGCAAACGTGAAACACCTGCTTTTGAGAGTGAACCTCTGTCAAACATATACTCTGTTACAAACTAGATATACTGTTCTCAAAGTGTGCTTTGCATGTCCCAGTTTCTGTACCTTTGTTCAAATTGTCTCTACTTTGGAAAGCCCTTAATCCAACCTGTGCCAGATAAAATCTTAAGGCCACAGAACCCCATCCTCCACAAACAGAATCCTCTCAGAAAGATAGGTCTTATCTTCCAGCTTGTCTGTTCTGTGCTTTCTTTCTCTATGAGTATGTATCTTCCTCAATTCAAGGCCCCAAAAAGCCTGTCTTGTTCATCTTTTGTACTCCCTCCATTTCCCCCCATAAATAGCCTAAAATTTGAACACAAAGAGGAGTTATTTGCAGAAATAAACAAACAAAAGGGATATTATTCATGTATGTGCTTTGTGTGATCATTTTCTTCATACATAGTAATTTGTGATCTAACCAAGATGAAAATTGGCATCTGTTATTTGACCAACTAATGTTTTATACTTCAAATTTATTTTGGAAAAAAAGATAGTTAAAACTACTACAGTCCTTTAGGAGGAAAAAACTTTGGAAAAATTTTGGTTCAATTCTTGGTGGCATGGGGTTTGAATTCAGGGCCTCATGCTTGCTAGGCAGGCACTCTACCACTGAGCCACTCTGCCAACTACAATATTGCTACGAGTTTTAGTTTTAAAACCTAGTGTAAGTCTATATGACATTTAAGTTAATGTAAACTTATTTTCAAAAGTTTAAGTTCACTTTCATACCCAACTCCCCAATTCTTCTCTGGCCTTCAGTAAGAAAACTTACCACCAAATTGTCAATGCATTCTTAAAAGCGCAAGGTAAATTACAAATATTTAACCTTAAAGGCAATTTTTTTTTAAGCAGTCAACTACAAAGTGAATCAACATTTTTTTTCCCAGCGCTGGATATCAAATCCAGGGCCTCATGCAACGCTAGGCAAATGCTCTAGCATTGGGGCTCACGTGGTAGAATACCTACCTAGCAATCATGAGGCCCTGAGTTCAAACCTCAGCACTGCCCCCCTCCCCCGCCAAAAAAAGAAAAAAAGCTCTACCTACCAATGAACTACATTCCCAGGTCACTATTTAAAAATGGAAGCTATAGTGTCCAAATGTCACCTCTAAAACCACTGTTGCCATCTATGTGTATCAAAACTCACCAGACTCACTTGTTCCACACTTTTAACCTCAGTTTTGGGATTCTTTCATTATAACACTAGCATTTGTGGCACCAAACATATGCTAGACACAAACTGGAATGGAATGCTTGTAACACAGTGGTGTTAATTCAATTCCCACCTCTGAATACTTCACATATAGTCTAAGAAGGTAGGTAAACCAGTGAAAATAGCTCAAACAAAGCATAAAGAAGGTATGACAGCACACACATTCCAGAAACTCCAGCTATTTTGGTTTCAACAGATTGGAGATTGCAGGATGCACACAATAAATAGTGGGAGAGGATGTTAAGAGACTTAATTTTTTTCTTGCTGTAGTGGGGTTTGAACTTCGGGTCTTGCACCAGCTATACAGGCACTCAATCATTTGAGCCACATCTCCAGTCCTAATTTTAAGATCTAAAAAATGCCAAGTATGAAGACCAGATGAAGGATTTAAGCAAGGAAGGCTAGGGCATTTGAGCAGAAAAGTGTGTGGTGGTGTGCCCTGGCCTAGGTAGATGGGTAAGCCAAGGACACAAGATAATTAAAGATTTTGTACATCCATGCTTACTTCAACCTTAACTAAAGCAGCAAAGTTTTAAGGTATTTTGGCATCATTATCAAAATCAACAATAAAAATCATAAGTAAAAATTCCAAAAAACACAATACAGCGTCAACTTGGAAGTGCAGAAAATAGAAGGAAGCAAAGTTTGATTTGGTACCTGCTGGACACCTAGGATGACATCAAAATTTAAGAATACTAATCATTTACAAGTTAAGATAGTCATGTACTTTCCGTAGTTTTAACAAAACTCTAGAAATCACTCTCATTCTTAACACTTCAACTTACACCCTGCAGCACAACCCCAACTTTTCAGAATTCCTACCTGTAGGATTTAACTACACAATCATACTGCTAAAAAAAAGTTAATAAAATGACTTCATCTTAGTATCAATGATTAAAACATTTCTCTAACTGGAAAACATTTAAACTTACTTGCAAAACTACATTCATACGCCATCGAAATATCCATCAACCAAGAAAGGCAAAACCCCGTCTTTTAAAATCAAGTATTCAAAAAGACATTAATTTAAAACTAAGACTAAAACTTGAAATGCTTTGTCTTGGGGAAGGGGGAAAAGTTAGTAAAACAGAACTACAAGTTAAGGCAGACTCCAGAAATTAATATTAGTTTAGAGATCTCATTTATTAGGAACACCACTTCAGGTCTCTTGTCCAGTTACCGAATTGTAGAGGTTTGGTAAGCAGCCTATAGGGTGGCATTAAATGATACTACTTTCAATCCAATCCTAAAGCCAGTGTTTACGTTCAGCTTTACAAATACAATTAATCCTTCAGCATCTCTTAAGACAGAGATTTCAGCAGGATTCAGTCTTTTTTGAAAACAGAGGATGTCCGTGGTAGCTGAGTCTACGCTGCACTTGTTCAGCTTCCAGGGGACCACAACACAAGGGCTCGAACAGCAGCAACTTGCTGTTACAGCCTCCATCACCGCCAGGAGACATTAAACAAAAACAGCGCCCATCGGGCCATTCGATTTCTTGTTCGAATGCCAGCTGTCCCCAACCCAACCATCTGTCTACAATGTACTGCGCAAAAAGCAAAGTGTTCGTGGTTCAAGTTTCTCCACGTCCACACTTCATTCTGTTGTCTTAAGAGCTTAAAACCCTTTTGGAGAAAGCGTGTTGGTACAAAAAAAAGAGCAAAGCTCTTCATCCTTTTCTTTCGGGAAAGAGTGGCTTTGGGCGCAGAGCGATGGCTGCCCTACATCCCCAGGCCTTGCTCCCTGCGCGGGAGGGCGGCGAGGCTAAACGCGGCGCTCAGCGCCCGCACACCCCCGCCCGGGATTGGCCGACCCCGCAGTCATTCAGCGCCGACACGTCAGGGCAGCCGCTCCCTAGCTCCTCCCGCCCCCTTCTCCCCGCGCTTGGCAAGAAAAGCGGGCAACGTGGAGCGGAACAAAGGACACCGCGGCCCACGGTGATTTAGGATCCGGTGGCACCTTTCTCCAGGTCCAGGGGACCTACGCGGACTCAAGCCAGCTTTCCTCCCGGACGCCGGGAGGTCACAGAGAGAAGCGCCCAGACATGATACTAAGTGCCCATTCCTGACACCGAGGACCGAGATTCCCGCGCCCTCCTTCCGGAGAGTCACCCTACCCCCACCGTATAACACGGCCCAGGCCCCACGAACCCCTGGAGCGAAAATCTCTCGCTCCCCCCACCCCCGGTCACCCACCCCGGCCCCAGCTTAGAAAAGGCTCTCTCGAGCCTCCGCGCGCTTTCCGAAGTGGCTGGCGCTCATCCTCGGTCGCCAACGCGACCCGGCAACCATGGCAGCGCCCGGGGCGCGGGTCCGCGCGGCGCCGGCTGCTCCTCCCAAGGGCGGCAGCGGAAGCCTGGGGCTTCCTCTCCCGAGACCCGGCCACCGCTCCCCACCTCGCACCATACTTCCCGGCCGCCGGCTCCCAATTCCGTACATCCAGCGCGTATTACCTGGTTCATCTCTGAAGAGATGGAAAAATTCATCTCTGGAGCTTCGACGGGGTGCCGGAGGAAGCGGGCGGGAACTGGCCCAGCGGAAAGTCCTCGAGGCGGCGGAGAGGGGACAGCGATGGAGCGGGAGGACCGGCGGCCAGTCCGTGGAGGCTGCAGCGCCACCGAGGGCTCGGAAGAACTAACTAGCTCGTTCGCTGGCACAGCCGCGCCGAAGCAGCAGGCGGAGAAACTGCGCCCAGCAGCCCGGAGCAAGCGAGCGAGCGGGAGAGAGCGACCGACCGACCTCCACACGCGTTCGGGAGACACTGCTGCCGCCGCTGCCGCCCGCTCGCGCCGCACCCCCTCGCACGTCACCACGTGCGCCGCCGCCACCGCCAACGCCTCCCGGCCGGCTTCCGGCTCGAGTGCATCCGCGAATCACAGGCGAGCTCCAGAAAGATCCCGCTCCAGGCTCCGCCCCCGCCCTCGGCCACGCCCTCCTGCCTCCTTGGCTGGGGCTCGTTCCTTCGCTGCTCAACTAGGTCAGCGCAAGGTGATCCGCGAGCGAGGCGTTTCTGCGGCAGCTCCTTCTCGAATCGCGTGGTCGTTCCTTCTCCCTCGCCCCGCACCCTCACTTCGCCCGCCCTTTCAGACTGTCCCGGAACTAGTTCCCATCCGCCGCCTCCACCTGTTCTGCCTACCCCAGGAGGCACAATAGCTCCAGGGATCAGCGGGGGTGATTGGGTCGCTGGGCGTCAGACTGCCTACAGCTAGGCAACCGCCCTAGACTGGAGCTGCCCATGGTGTGCCTCAGCAGTGGCTGGGCATCAGCTCTTAATCAGCTCTTACCTTGGAGGTGGAGGAGGAGGAAGAAAGGCACTCTGAGAGCAGGGGGTGAACAACTCTTCATTTTGGCCTGGTTGGGTGAGAAGACTCAGTAACTTGGAAAAACAATTGGAGAGGCGTAGTACCTTAAAAACCTGTCCACTCTAGTTTCTGCCCTCTGAGTTTCTCTTCTGGAAAACACAATTCTTTACTGGTCTTGCCTTCTTTCAGACAAAGAAAATACCCTTGAGAATTGGCAGGGACCTAACATCCAGGGACCTTTTAGATCAGGAACCAAGCTTAATCATCTGTTCCCCCTTGCCCCCACCCCACCTTGTCCCCAGGAGGCAAATCTGTTTAGGTGAAATGTGATTTAAGCTGAGCTCTGGCAGCTCTTCCATGTCACTCTAAAGGCACTCCGGAAAATTTCCTTGATTGGAGATGAGGGGATTTGGTGAGATTGCATTCAAATATATATGTAATAAATACATGTAAATTATATAAATATACATGTAAATTATATTAGAGGCTTCTAGGTTATGTCCTGTTAGCATACGCTGATACTTAAGCAGTCCAGACCTAATCTTGCTGTATTTGGTCACTCGTCTTCATTTGTAGACATGTCTTAGAGGTCTTTGTCAATGCCTCTTACCACTCTTTATTTATACTAATGAGGCAGGAAAAAATAAATGTGGAGGGAGCCCTCACCTGCAATAGAAGTTTTATAACCTTTTAATATAAAATCTTGAGTCGAGTATTGTTTCCTTTTTTTTTCCAATCAGAGGAGGCAACAGGAACTACGATGTCAATTAGTATGATTTCTGTGTCTTTCTTAAGAGTATTAAATGTCAGTCTTTTGGCTGGGCTGTTGTTTTGTCTTCCAGGTAATAAGTGACACCAGTGTTCACTTTTCTTGCAAATTAAACTGTTTGAGTACATACTTTTTGAGCTCTTTCAATACCATTGGTTTCATCTTTGCAGTAGAGGATATAAATTGTCCACTTTGGGTAGGCAGATGACTGTGGCCTGCTGGAGGCATGGCACTTACTGTACTCTAAATAGTGCCTTTGTGACCTGAAACAGTCAACACTCTCTTAAAGCTTCAGTTTAATCAGAGTCAATGCTTTTTTTTTTTTTTCTTCTTTTGAGACAGTGTCTCACTATATAGTCCAGGCTGGTCTTGAACCCAATCCTCTTGCCTCCTCAGCCTCTTAAGAGCTGGGATTACACCCGGTGGTACACCTGACTAGAATCAATGCATTTTTGACTTCATATATTACCTCCTCTGTGAAAAAATGTTATAATTTATACATTCTATTTATCTTTCAGCCAACTCAGTCTGTCCAGTTACTATTAATACCCACTAAAATTAGGCATATGAGTATTTGCAGTTCTTTAAAGTAACAAATTGTTATAAGATTTTACTTGGGGCTGGGGTTGTTGTTCAGTGGTACAGTCCTTGGCGAGCATGTTCTACTTAAATTAGACAAGATGTATTTGGAGAAGTGCTTAATAATAATAATAATAATAATAATAATAAAGTATTAATTGAGCACCTATTTTGTGTCAGACCCTGAGAAAGATAATTGGGATTGGTGCTAATCGACGTATTTTCATTTTCTTCCTTGATCCTGCTAAACTCAGATTTGAGTTTGTTTATTCTTGATGTATTTATTTTCTAGGTCTATTGTAGTAAAGTACCACAAGCTGTCTGAAACAACAGAAATTTGTTGTGTCACCGTTCTGGAGGCTAAAAGTCTGAGATGAAGGTGTTGGCAGGGCCATGCTCCCTCTGAAGGAGCTAGGGAAGGATCTGTTCCAGCCCATTCTCCTGCCTTCTGGTAGTTCCTTGGCTTGTGGCAGCATAACTCCAGTCTTTACAGGGTGTTTTTCCAGTGAGCTTGTCTCTTTTCCAAATTTTCCCTTTCTAAAAAGTCATCAGGGGCTGGCAGAGTGGCCCAAGTGGTAGAGCACCTCCCTAGCAAGTGAGAGGCCCTGAGTTCAAGCCTCAGGACTGCAAAATAACAATAATAATAATAATAAGTAAATAGATAAAAGGACATCTGTCAGATTGGAATAGCGGCCCACCCTACTCCAGTATGACCTCCTTTTTTTTTTTTTTTTTTTTTTGTGGGACTGGGGTTTGGAACTCAAGAGTTTCTCTCTTACAAAGCAGGTACTCTACTGCTTGAGCCACATCTCCAGTCCCCTTTGCTCTAGTTATTTTGGAGATAGGGATCTCATAAACTATTTGCCTGGACTGGCCTCGAACTGCAAATCTCCCAATCTCAGCTTCCCAAGTAGCTAGTATTACAGGCGTGAGCCACCAGCACCCAGCAGTACGACCTCATTTGAACTAAATCTGCAACTGTTCTTTCCAAATGAGGTCATATTTTGAAGCATTAATATGAGTAGGGGAGAGGGGGACAGGGACACATTCAAGCCCTAACACTTTAGTTCAGTGTCTCTCAAGTGGCCCACATTTCTCAGAAGCACCAGGATGTTCTTACTAGACATACAGGTCCGTAAGCTTTATCCTAGACTAGTAATTTTCAAAGGATAAGAATTATTTTTCCCCTCCAGGGGACATTTGGCAATGCCTACCTTGAAGCACAACTAGGAGAGGGGTACTACTGGTATCTAGTGGTCCTGCAATGCTACTGAACATCCTACAGTGCCCGGGACGGCTTTCCAGTAAAAAATTATCTTACTCAAAACGTCAACCGTACCAAGATTGAGAAACCCTGCCCTGCCCTAGAACTGCTAAGTCAGAATTTACAGGAAAGAGATCTAGAGATCTACATATTGACAAATGTCCTAGCAACTAGTACCCACTCTAAAGCTTGAAAAACCACTGCAGATACAAAAGCTCAGGGCATCTAAATGCACTCCATTCCCCCCTACCTCTCTTACATTAATTCTGATCATTGTTTTAATTAAATAGTATCACTTAGCAATTCAATTTGTAGGTCATAGTCTCAAATTCATTTTAAATTGGAATCCTGTCCACATTTTAAAAGTTCTGTGCCACATTACGTTATTTTTAGCCAGGTATCTACATTTTCCAAAAGTCCTTTGCCTATTGAAAACCTTTGGCAAGCTATGGCTTGGCAAAGCATTCCATCCTGCAATCTGCTGGTTTCTCCTGTTCAGACTGACTTGTCTGTTTTGTCCACTTCTCTCTTTCTTTGCAGTGAATGCTGCAATTTCCTTTCTTCTTGTGGCACTTGAAATTATTTTTAGGGTATATTGATGGAGTCTTAAGAGCAGAAGCTAGTAAATGGGGGTGTCTAAAACGCACAAGAGCCCTAGGGAAATGTCTTCAAGTTCCCTACTCCAACTAAAGTAGGTCACTGGAAGTTCTTATGTATTGCAATGTATAAAAAATTGAGAATTTGATGCCTCTCTGAAAAATTGTTTTCTTACTAAGTATTCCCTGTTAAAGAGTATCTTCCATTTTCCTGGTAAGACCTCCATAAAGTTTTCATCACAGTAAGTCCGAACTGTAACATTTTTCAAATACATACCTCAGAATACTTTAGTGTTGATTGTCCTTAGTGGTTAATATGTCATCCAAAGAGACTATTTTATGAATGACCTTTTGGTAGTTTCCTAAAGTCATTACTGCTAAGGTTTTTCAGAACAATTCAAGCCTCCTATTCCAGCTATGAGAATTTCCTAATAGTTCTTCTCTCTTTCCACAGTTTCTTAGGAATTAAAACTTTCATGTCATTCAAATATTTTTCCTGTGATGTTATGTAACCTTCAAGCTTGCTGCCTCTTTGGCACGTGGTCACAAGTGTCACATGTAGCTCTTAAACGCTAATGTGCAACCTAGGCTTTCCGACAGCCTTCATCAAAAAAAACAAACAAAAATCTTTCTTTTTAATCAACTTGGTTCCTAATGGGCTATGGGGGAAGGGCAAGGAATAAGCAGCCCTCATACTGGCTAACTTTTAAAGTAATCACTAAGATCAAGTGTGTAAACAAAAGTGTGGTAATATGTAGCCCAATCTATATAGTTCAATTCAGAAAGAGATCTTTTGTTATGATCACATCCAAAACTTGATGAATGAAAGTTGCATGATATAAACTGAGTTGTAGGAGGGTGAGGGTTGAAGGCCAGCCCAGGCAAAGTTAACTGGAATCCCTATCTGAAAAACAAACTAAAAGCAAAAGATTGGGAACATGGCTCAAGTGGTAAAGCACCTGCCTGGCAAGAATGAGGCCCTGAGTTCAGTCCCTAGTATTGCCAAACATTTTTTTCAAAAAGAAAGTTACATTATACAGTTCAATTGTACTTTCCAACCATCTGTTGCTATTGTAAACTGACCACTGAACAATAGGAAGTCTGGAGAGTGTTCCAAAGGAAAAAGCTGAGAGGGCAGAACACTTGGATTGTAACAGTTCTTCCTTTTTTCTGTCATGTTTCTTATTATCTGAAGACAACCAAAGTGAAGTGTAATGGGTGCATGATGAAATTTTACAAGATTATATGGAACTGAGTTTTCTAACTACTAAAAACAGAAAGTCCTAAATTTGTTCCTATTCCTCAAGAATAATGCCCGTCTGCTCATGCCTCTCCCAAATCGGTGCCTTTGCCAGCAGAATTATCAACCGAAATATTTTCTTCCCAATCATCTCTAATGTCCTTACTAAATGAAACATGTAAAAGAAAAATTATGGGGCCTGGGGCATGGCTCAAGGCCCTGGGTTCAATCCCCAGTACCATACACACATAAAGAAAGAGAAAACAAACAAAAGATCATAAAACCTGTAACCTCAGCATTCAAAAGGAATGAAGGAGAAGGATCAAGACTGGAAGCTAGTCTGGGCTATTTAGCAGGTTTGAGGGCAGAGTGGTATATAGCAAGACCCTGTCTCAGGAAAAAAAAAAAAGGAAGAGGGTAACGAGAAGGGGAAGAAAGGAAAAATAATAAATTTTGATGGGAACAACTCTTAAATTAGCATGTAATAGTTGTATAGGGGAATACATTGTGATATTTACTATACGTGCTTACAACATATCTTAGATTTACCCCCCCCATCATTTTCCCTCCTCCCCACCTTCTTAGGACAATTTGAACAGGTTTCATTCTTCTTTTTTCGTATATGAATTCAAAATGCATCCACCATGTTCACCCTCATTTTGTCAGCAGCCCTTACTGCATCACCATGCCTAGGACACCCTTCTCCCAGTTCAACCCTTTTCTCAGTGTCTTGCTCCTATGTGTCTTTTGTTGTTGTTTTGTTGTTTTGAGTTG